TTTWWWWTTTTTGTTCAGTGTATTTCTACACGTTGAAACTTYCTACGTTTTGACATGGTACAATGACAGATTTTATTGTACAGGGATTTTATATGATTGAGCAACAAAAAATATGTAATTGTGAAGTAAAGAAAAATGATTATTTTAAACTTGTTTTACTGTAAATAAATAATACAATAAAAATGAAAAGCATGGCATGTGGCCCCTTTATACTGATACTTGAAACTAAAGTCCAGTGAAATAAAGTCTACTTGTGTGTAATCTACCATAATTATGAGGGTATAATGCAACTTGCAGATAATACAAYCCCCTCATGAACAATAGGGATATTTTGGGCACTAACAATCTATTGTAAGGCTGATGGTTCTATTTTGCATGTGAACAGTTTTGATGGACATCGTTAATCTGGTTTGTCCACCATGTGGAGSCAGTGASTATAAGGCTGAGTTCACCTGAAACTTCTTTACTCTTTAAAAGTAAAATATCTAATCCTTGTGTATAATGTTACCCCTAATTTTAACAGACTTCAGAATTTTTCWGCCTTTTTGACAYACCAGGACTCCCTTGGAAAAGAGGTTTTTAACCACAATGGGTTTTTAATCCTGTAAAATAAAGGTTAATAATACCCTCTGGTGGAGAAACAGTTTTATTTGGTGATACACAGTTGTTGGCACGTTTGTAGCTGCAGATAAGCTGAGTATGCTTCTGCATATGACTGAAAATGGTCCGGTCCCAGTTGTTAAATTAAGAAAAAGCTTTAAAGTGCATATTGTCTTCTTTTCACCTCTGTGGTTATCAATAAATAAATAAATAAATGTTACYCTCTCTGCCATTGGTGCGAAGAAAAAAAAAACAACCACTGCTGTTGCTATGCACAACATTGTTTACAGTGAATTTTCTTAATWAAGCACATTTAATAAACAGGTTGTTACCTAGGTGTTGAACAATAAAAACGTAAAAAGAAATGTCAACAAAAAACAGAAAAACAAATTACTTTAAAACATCAGTAAAACAATAAATGAAAACAGAACAATAACATAATAAAATAACACGCTTGATTAACTCAGTGAGAACAGATG